AGAGAGAGAGAGAGAGAGAGAGAGAGAGAGAGAGAGAGAGAGAGAGAGAGAGAGAGAGAGAGAGATAAAGAGAGAGAGAGAGAGAGAGTGTGTGTGATAAAGAGAGAGAGAGAGAGTTTGTGATTCTGTGAAAGAGAGAGAGTGAGAGTGAAAGTGAAAGTGAGAGAGAGAGAGACAGACAGACAGAGTGAGGTCGGCGCTTTTTAACCCCGTCTCACCTCGGCCCGCGCGTGAGTTGGCTGACCTGCGTCCCGGCCTCCCCGCATGACCTAGGGCGCGCCGGAGGTCCCTCTCTCGCGGCGGACTCGTTGGAAGTGGGTCAGACACGTGCCGCCCTCGGACCTCGATATACCGAACAACGGACGGATTGGCCGACCGAGGAAATTGGGTATAACGAAAATAACAGATTTGACGACATCATCTGGTATTTTCCGTACATAACCCCAGCGATTGTAGCCAGAGACCCGTCCCTCGGGAAACCTTGTTCTTATAAAGGGGCGGAGTCCATGTTGACAGAAGCCCCCCCCCCCACCGGGTTCTAGAAAGGCATGTGACCTTCGCCACGATTAGGTTAAAACCGCCGGCCGTGCCATTTCTTCCCTAAGCTCACACAAATCCTCACGACGTGGACGGATACCCCTGGCACGGTTTATATAAATACTTACCTACTTATATTAAACTTAAGAGAGAATAGTAGCCGCCAGTGCCACGTGCAGGAGACCGAAACCAGTGGAGCCGCGGCGGGAGGGGGGGAGGGGGGGAGGGGGGAGGATTAAGGATGTCGGGAACAATAGGATGGATGAGGATGACTGTAGTAACTAATCCCTAATCGCTAACGGACGGGGATTACAACGGAGATTAGTGGGCGGTGGCCGTCGGAAGGAGGGGGGGGTGGGGGAAGAAACTTTATCACGAGATTAATTAAAAGCTAGAAGAGAGGTCACCAGGGATGATACGAAAATGGAATTTATTTTTTTCTTCTTCCTAGAGTTATCTAACGGCCATGTAATACAGGTAGAGGAGAGGAAGGTGTATGTGTAACAGGAAGATGATAGATAGATAGATAGATAGATAGATACTCGCAGTTATATACCCCCCAAAAATACATAACTACATAAATTTCTACAATTTGTTTCTATCTATGGTGATGATACCCATAATTACTCCATAATATTAATTAACCCAAATTTTCTCTAAAAACAGGTCTCCCTTCCATGGTTGAGCCCGCCCCCTTAGTCGTGGTGATGGGCGTGGGTGCGGGCGTTCTCTTGGTGGTGGGCGTGTTGGTGCTGACCGTCTGGTGTGTCAAGGAGAGGACTTCCCACGCCCACGGAAGCCCGACGGTCACTCAGGTCGTCTTGAATGACAACAATCCTGACCTTCTGAGTGAGTTGTCTTCGTGGTTCGTGTGTGTGTATATGTGTGTGTGTGTGTGTGTGTGTGTGTGTGTGTGTGTGATTGTGTTTGTGTCTCTCTATCTATTTGTGTGTTCCTGTTAATAGATACACGCGGTGTTATGTGTTTTAAGTCTAAAGTGCGATAAGGTATATCGCCTTATCATTCACCATTTATTGCATGCAAGATAATGATAACAACTTCTTCACATTAAACCATTTCCCGAAACCGCTTCGAAAAAGAGCTCAGGAGCTTCGACTCATACCTCACAGCAAGCACAAAGGACTATCCGAGAGTTCCCCCTTATTTCTCTCTTTCTCCTTTCTTCCTACTTTCACTTATCTATTTTTTCTCCTCACCTCTCTCTCTCTCTCTCTCTCTCTCTCTCTCTCTCTCTCTCTCTCTCTCTCTCTCTCTCTCTCTCTCTCTCTCTCTCTCTCTCTCTCTCTCTCTCTCTCTCGCTCTCTCTCTCTATTCTCTCTCTTCTCTCTCTCTCTCTCTCTCTCTCTCTCTCTCTCTCTCTCTCTCTCTCTCTTTCCTTCCCTTTATCTCCTTCCCCTCATCTCTCTCTCTCCCTCCTTCCCTTTATCTCCAACCTTCACACCTCCTTCCTCCATCTCCTCATATCTCTCTCTCTCTCCTTCCCTTTATCTCCTTCTCCTCCCCTCACTCTCTCCTTCCTCCTTCCCCTCACCTTTCTCTCTCTCTCCTTCCCCTCATCTCCTCCCAACTTCACACCTCCTTCTCTTCATCCCTCTCTCTCCCTCCTCCCCCTCATCTCCTCCTATCTTCCCACCTCCTTCCTTCTTCCCCTCACTTTTCTCTCTTCCCTTTCTTCCTCTTTCCCCTCATCTCTTCCTATCTTCACACCTCCTTCCTTCTTCCCCTCACCTTTCTCTCTCTCCCTCCTTCCCCTCACCTCCTCCCAACTTCACACCTCCGAAAAGACAATGCAAGCATCTTACACCCGCTGTCCCTCAGTATCAGGCTTTCACACTCGAGGCTGAGCGTGACAGACAGGGGACACTTCCGTTGCTCTAAGGTCGGCTGTCGGGAGCTGTCGTTTGCCGGGAAATACTGGTCGGTTTATCTTCCGGATTGAAAA